AGAAGGCGAATAAAAAGCCAAAGGTCGATTGAAGATGATTTTATGAGCCTTTGAAAAAAAGATTCGGCTGCTCGATGATACTGTAGAAGCTTTCGTTGAACCTACCAAATAAACTCCTTAAGATTTGGAAGAAATCAAAAATTGCGGGCTCTGGGTTCGATTTAGTCGGCTTTGTTTTACTATGATTCTAGAATATAATACAAGCCTGGGCCTTTGTTGGGGTTTACTATTTGATTAAAATATGAAAAGACGAAGTTATACGGAGCCCAACGCGGATCTGACTCTATTGGCAGCTACAAATCGCGCCACTCGACATACACCCATGAAAACCCGCACTTGAAAAGTCGACTAGTCAAAACCACAAAAGGGCGTGAGTATATGGTTCTCTTTGGGCGGTTTTAACTGGCACAAATGAAATGGGAAAAACCACGTGGTGACATGACTCATCAACTGAAAAATTCACGTGGGAAATGGCTTGATTACGAGCGTCATCAAAAAAGGAAAATAACCATTTAAAATAGGCTAATGATGAATAATTGGGAGTAAAAACATGATAATTCAATGACAAACAACCTAAGCACTAGCATAAATCATCTCACAGCGGTAAGCCGGACTTACGCTGAAGTCACTCTATTGAGAGAGGAAAGCGGGACAAATGGACAGTGAATAGAGCTAGAAGAGGAGGGGCTACGAAAACTACGGTCTGATTGCCTTTATTACATTATACGTGAAGATTGAACAAAGGCAACTCACCTTGATGCTTGTCCTTTTCAAGGTCCTGGCTATAAATGGAGATAAGCTGCCGAGATCCTACCGCAATAAGATTGAAACCGCATTGAATTGCAAGACCCTACAATAAAGCTTACAGAGGATGAACTGCCAAAAAAGAAGAATAAACGAGTTTTTAATCGTTGAGCAGATGTTACCTCTACCCTGTCCAGGTGTATGCCTGCAGGATTCTCACTGTTAGCTATGTTCCTCGATTTAGTAAATTCCCAAAGAACAATGAGAATGGTTAATCTCACAGTGTGCATAGAAAATCACCTCGTCAACATTGATACCTGCAACACAAATGTCAGCAAGATTAAAGGAGATACGAAAGATCGCCAAAGGATTGATCTCGGCCATGAAATAGACAAAATGGGGCATATATGCAAAATCAATGTGTATGCATTTGATTCATCAAATTTATCAAAAGATGTGAGAAATTGTGACATTTATCTCCTTCTGGATTAAAAATTTAATATGCATGGCACGGAGAAACAAAA